GCTCAAAGGCCACTTCCCAGCTGAGTCCCCAGGGTCACAAAGTCTGGGAGCTCCCTGTGTGGCTTGGGAGGCACCTCCCCATTGCAGGAACTTGCCACTGGATGAGCATCAAATGTTCCTCTGCTGCTGCCAAGCCTGCAGGGTGACGAGTTCAAAAGTGCAAAAGGGGGCAGATAGGCAGGGCCTCCTGGCACTGGGTACCTTCTGGTAGGATAGTCCGACAGCAGCACACAGCCAACATTAAAACTGGGAAAACACCCAAAATAAGAAGTCCTGGACAGTCTTCTTGGGGAGCAGGGGGCTGGGCAGGGGCGGGGTGGGGGATTCACTGCTGCTGTCCCTGGAGGGTAGCCCCTTGCTAGTCTGGCTGTGTACAAAGAGGACCCTAAGACTGATTCTCCAGACTTCCAACCACATGTGGCTCTTAGTAGGAGCTGTTGAGAAGCCTCCTTCCCTCGCCTTAGTCTTAGAGAAAGATCTGTATGAAGTGCCCAGCATGTCTACTCCAGCCTCAGACATTAAGTAACCCATACCCCACCTCTAATGAGCTCAGATCAGGAAACTGAGACACAGAGACAGAAAGTAGACTCATAAAACTCAGAGAAAGAATTATTTTTCTGATTCCCTGTTCAGTGTTTTGTTCATTGTGTATCTTTCCCAATAAAGAAAGAAATCAGTTTTATTACCTACTGAGTTTTACCATTTACAAATCTGTATTGCTTTAACATTAAACTAGAGCCATTAAATCCAGATCCAAATTCCAGCACCTACCGAGTGCAATAGAAAACAGCCTTGACAAAAAGAAAATGTTTATACTCAGGATTTCTTCTCTGAAAACAGCACCTATGTATTAACATCATGAGAAGAAAGAGAGAGTACATCAAAGCTTAGCATGCTGTAACACTGCTGATACTCCACAAAGGTCAACTATTTTTGTTGCCATTGTTATTAGTATTTAAGTTAATTGATTATTGACATTCAAATATATGTTTTGGTGAAAGACTGTACATGGATGAATTAAGAACTATTTTCTTAAGCCAGGTGTGGTGGCACATGCCTTTAGTCTCAGTACTTGGGAGGCAGAGGCAGGCGTATCTCTGAGTTCAAGGCTAGCCTGGTCTACATAGTGAGTTCCAAGTCAGGTGGGGCTACAGGGAGACTGTCCCAAAAGAGAACCCCCCCCCAAAAAAAGAACTATTTTCTTCTACTTGAGCCATTTCGATTTTCATGTTTTTTTTTTAGTTCTTAATTAGCTTATAATTAGTTTAACAAGTTAGGAGGCAAACTTACATCATCCAAATCTGACAATTCTTTCATTTATTCACCTTCCCTAAAACATTTTTGAATGACAGTATCAACTCATCATAGATTTTCAATAGATTCTGAGGGATGGATGAATAGATGGATAGTTCTAAGATTAAAGTAGCCTCTCTTGATTCACCCTGGTTTTGTTTCATGAAAAGTTATACAGGAGAGGCTGATTGACTGGAAAAACATGGTAAAAGGTGCTCATGTCTTGGTGAACAGTCCTGGGGGTGCAGGTCCAGAGAAAGCAGGGTTTTGGAGATTCTCACATGCTAGGAACCCTCCATTCAGGTTATTGAATGGATGGCCTGCATCTAGATGGATGCAATCTAGAGACGGAATCAGATTAACCTGAATTAGTGGAGTTTTATTCTATATCCCATGGGAGCAAGGGGGGTTCTTACATAAAATCAAATATAATATGAAATAGCAGTTATACATTGAACAAAGGTATTTCTAACTCTTGCCTTATTTTACTTTAGAAAAATGGGTGGTGGCATTGCTTAGAGGTCAAGTGTGTGAGTATGTATTTGTTTGAGGTAGAGTACTCATTTGTTTGACCCACACATGCATCACTTGTTTTTCTGAGTTTTTCAAAATTTCAGCCCCAGGCTAGTTGTGAAACAACACTGAAAGTCTTATGTATAGTAAAATGTCACCAGCAACCAAAGACAGCCTGTTCCCTACTCCCAGTTCAAGTGCTTGTGATTCATAACCTGAACAAACATGCACAGTAAATTTTGGCTTGGCAAGCATGGCATTATGTTTGTGAGTGGAAGGTTTTATTTGTTTCTATTCATAGTATAATTGTCCTTCAGTATCCAAGGGAGATTTATTCTAGGATCCTCTCATAGACACCAATATTGGATGCTCAAATCCCTTAGGTAAAATGACATACTCTTTGCACACAATCTATACACATCCTCCTACATAATTTAAATCATCTTTAAATTATCTGTAATACACATTGTAAATGTTGTGTAAGTAGCTGTCATATTATACTATTTAGGGGCTAATGATAAGAGTCTACAATATTAATTATATGCACAATATTTCTAAAATTTTCAATCAGGATTGGTTGACTGTATCGGTCAAGAACTTAAAAATATGAAGGGATGACCATATTATTTTTAATGTTTTTATTAATTATTTGAGAATTTCATACAATATATTTTTTAAACTTTACTGAGAATTTCATACATGCACATAAGGTGTTTTGATCAAATCCATGCCCACTGCCTCCCCTCCAGCACCTTTAGTATCTCCCCTCACTTTTTTCTGACAACTTTGTGTATTTTCTTTCTTTCTTTCTTTCTTTCTTTCTTTCTTTCTTTCTTTCTTTCTTCTTTCTTTTTTTAAATTGGGCTTTATGCTACTCTAACATTCCCCCTCTGAAGAGATAACCCTAAAATCTTTTGGGGATTAGATAAGAGCTCCCAAATACTTTTGACATTTTTGGCCTTTGGAACGGAGTACATTGCTAAGAGGCCCAAGGACATTTTGACTTTTAGCCAAGAAACTGGCTACGTTTCTTTGGAGTCTTTTTACCCTAACTGCCTAGCCAATTCCTACCTCCTATTCTTATCACGCCATCCTCTGAAGGGGTTACCCAAATTGCCAATAGGGAATCGGGATGCATATCATTCTGGCTTCTTCCATGCTGAACACACAAGGTGAGGCAATTGGAGTACCCCTTCAGTGGGTCTATCTAAAAGACTCCCAAATTGCATCACTCTTATATGTAGGGAGAAAAAGAAAGTCCTTGACTGGTGAATAGGGGATGTGAAGGAGAAGTAAAGGCAAGAGTAGTTAGCATTACAAGTTCTAGACAGAGAACCAGAAAAAAGTCAGAACAGGGCAAATTTCAAATGTTCATATCAGAGTCCACTGGAATTTCTTGATGAGAGTTTCCAAAAGCATCCCTCTGTTGGGTTCCTCCTCATTTTACTTTTGTCTACCAAGGCTGGACTTGAGAGTGATGGACTCAGGATTTGTTTTCAAGCACTTTGATAGCTGTTGGAGGGGGCAGGATCCAGGTGCTCTCAGGTGGGTCCCCTGAGTTCTCAGCCCCTATGCCAGAGGGAGGCTGGAACAGGCACCCTGGCGATCTGCTGAGATCTCCCATACAATGTATTTTTATCATGTTCACCATCACCCCCAAGTCCTCCCATATACATGGCTTCCTTTCTCTTCCCACGCAGCTTTGTGTCCTTTTTTAAAAAATCCACTGAATCCAATTTGTATATCCGTGGGCATCTCTTGCCAGGGGAATATTATTTTAATTCACAGGGTTCACATCTGGGTAAGGTTGATGATTACTTTTCTCCTCTGGTAGTGAGCAAAGCACACTAGGAAGGCTAGCCCATAGGGATGAAGCTTCCAGGTAGGTACCAGCTTGATTTCTTCATGTTCTATGACTTAAGCACATGTTGTCTTCAGCAATAGGGTCTTACTGTCAAGTTCTGGAGGGTAACCAAGAGCAATGGCAATATTCTGTAATGTTTGTAGGTCTATGTGACCCCTACTGGCCAACAGTTCTGAAAGAGGTAACTCATTCATGGCACTGGGCTTTTTATTTGTTAGCCTGTAGTGTCCAGTAGGGGCACTGTCACCCTGTTATTGGGTAACTCCATCTAAACTTTCAATATATGCATATGCAAATATGTTAGGAAGCTTCTACAGTAGTAGGTGTCCATATGACTTTTTCAAAAAGTCTTCAGTGTTAGTTTTCCTTCCCTGTATTCCCTCCTCTACCCTACCTTCTCATTCCCCATCCCATTTAACCCGTCCTATTACGTTATTCTTTTCCCCTTTATATCACTGCATTCTAATGCCCCTTCTTTGGAATACCCACCCCTATGGCTCCTTACTAGGAGGACAACCTCCATGGGTATTACACATGAAACATATATATCTAAAGATTCAAAACATTTATCTAAAGATTCTACATCTGGAGTTCCAGGCTAGCTGGGGATACAAGGATACCCTGTCTCAAAAACAAACCAAAAAATGCAGATTCCTGGACCTCATCCTGCAGTCCCTCAGTGAGACTGGAGCCTGGTAAGCTGCATTTTAAAAGAGCTCACTAAGGGTTCTTCTAGTCCTGGAAGTTGGAAAACATCTTTACCTAGATGCTAGTACATGACAGGCTTTACACAGTGACTTTTCTCAGACCTGTTTGCATCTTGTTGGGGAGTAATGTCTGAATAGTGAGGATTCAACAACTCCAGGCCTCAGGGTACAGAGAGAACGATGATAAGCTACAGAAAATCTAAGAGCCAACATGAGGAAATTTCACTGAGCACATAGTTGGATTTGGAATGCGCTTCCTGCTGGGATCTGATAGTCACAGACTATAGAGAAGGCAGGTCCCATCTCAGCCCTCCTGGTCCTCCTGAGGTCTGCATAGTAACCCTGGGGAGCCACCTGTCCACATTAGATGTGGTGCTGACAGCTTGGTTGACTGTGAAGCCCAGGGCCCTACCCTGCCTTTCCCATCTATGATGGAGTAAACAAAGCTCTACTTCTAGAGTTTCTGATCCAGGAAGGTGACAAGAACCAAGAAGGATCCTCACTATGCCCCACCTACTGCCCTGAGTGCTCCCTGCCTCCTGTTCAGCCTGAAATGCATCCACCAGGGATTTGCTCCAAGAGGCAATCATGCATTCTTTCCTCCCACTTCCCCAACCCCACAGGTTTGGAATAGATTGCCTCATCCAATTTGAAGACTTTGCCAATGCCAATGCCTTCCGTCTGCTCAACAAATACCGCAACAAGTACTGTATGTTCAATGACGACATCCAAGGTATGCTTCCACCCACCTGACAAAGCCATGGGGTAATGGCATTCTTTCATAAAGCTCACCCAAATGCCAAAAACAGGACAGAGATGGCATCTCGTGGCTGGTCTGCTGCCAGCAGCTATAAGGAAGTATTAGTCTTGGATACATCTCCCACTTTGCTGATTCTTAGCTGTATGACCTTGAACACATCCCTTAACTTTGCTAAGCTTCAGTTTGTTTAAGTACAAAATAGAAATCATTACTACAGAAACAGGTAAGAATTAAGAAATTCTATACAGTTGCTATCAATCATTAGCTACTTGGAAAAGTCACTTTTCCAACTATAAATTCATCATCTGTTCTCTATCTTCTGATGATAACCACAGAAAAGTATTATAAAAAGTTCAAGAACTGAGACTTGGGAGCTGGAAGGCCCAATAGGTAAGAGTGCTTGCTGCACAGCATGAGGACCTGAGTTTCCATCCAGCACCCACATAAAAATCAGGGTATGGCCATGCATGCTTGTAACCCCAGTGCTGTGGGGGGATGGAATGAGAGGATTTCTGGGGCTTGCTGGTCACCTGCCTAGCTCCAGGTTCAGTGAAAGACCCTGTCTCAAGGAAATAAGGCACAGAATGGCAGCTGGTATCCTCATCCACCTCTAGAAACACAGGTTCATGTACCTGCACCTGCACCTGAACATACACATGTGCATACAACACAAACACACAGCCGTACACACATATACCACATACATATACACAGAGAGAATGTAAAAAGCCGGGCGTGGTGGTGCATGCCTTTAATCCCAGCACTCAGGAGGCAGAGGCAAGTGGATCTCTATGAGTTCAAGGCCAGCCTGGTCTCCATAGTGAATCCAGGACAGCTGGGGCTACAGGGAGACACTGTCTCGAAAAGACCAAAAAAAGAAAAAAAAAAAAAGTATTCAAGAGCTTATACATAGAAAGCATTAGTATATAGGGCTTAATCAGATCAAAACATTGATTACCATAAAAATAGCTTCCCACAGCCATAATATCTTCTTAGATTTTTCGCAACACAAGGTATATCCCTATGAGGGAGGCATGACAGTTCCTTCCATAAACATGGCTGGGATGTATGCTGCTGAGAAGTGTAAGCTTGAGAGACACTGGCACCAAGAACGCAGCACTACAGAGGCTAATGTGAAGCCTCTTTCTAACTCCATGTCTGCTTGGTCACCAGTTCTAGAGCCCAAAAATACCTGGAGGCAGTTGCTTCTTGCTTTGGAGTGCTCTGAAGCTGGAATAGGAAGAGCCTCTCAGCAATGGTCTCCCTGACCCCAGACTACTCAGTGAGAAGCACTGGGAGCTGCTCCCAGCTTTCTGGAAGGCCCAGGAGAAACCTTCATGAGTTATTTAACAATGAAGTTTGACAAGCCACACTATTAAAACCAAAGATCTATGTCAGATAAAAGGAATGAGTTGACATGGAACAATCTCATTCCTTAAGAGTGAATGATGGTCAACAACATTCTACAGATGATTCCTTCACAGATCCAAAGAGTTCACAACTTTTCATCATGTCGGTTAGGGATAGATTAGAGAGAACACATACCCAAGGAGGATCAGCAAGAGTTTATAGCTAAATATTTATGACCTATCTGGCACTGTTGTAGGCATTTTACACATTTAATGTGATGACATACTAGCATCTATGTCTTATTAATGAAGAAACAGAGGTACAAACACAACTTATATAGCAGTAAATATACAGTTGACATTTTAGCCCAGGTATTTGGAGTCTAAATTCCACATTCATAACCACTTACCATACTATTCCAGGTCTTACCAATACAAAGCCATCTGCCTCTTCTTTTCCTTTTGGTTCATAGCATGGGGTTACAAAACTATAATAAATTATTTTTTGTATTTGTCATAAATTTCAAGGGGTGATAAAGCAGAATTATAGCACACTATTATATAAGCAAGTTCAAACATATGGCTTCAATGCTTGAAGAGTGCGTGCCCAGAGAGGGAAAGTTGGGCACCTCCATTCTGTTCTCTCAGCCCCCTCTGATGCCTGGGCCTGGAACAGGCTAGTGGGCAAGGCCAGCCTCATTCTGACAAGATAGTGCTCTGTAACGGCAGAGCGGCACAGTCCAAGAAGACTGGTTGGGGGCAGCAGAGCATCCTCTCACTGCCTGCCAGTCACCTCACTGTCATATGTACCTGTGGCCTTGGAGGAAGCACCTGTGGGATAGCCCCCAACCAATTCCCCCATCATGTCATTCACCTATGAGTCAGCAACACGACAGCCATTCCCCTGAACCCCTCAAGCTGCCAAGTCCAGTGGCTGGAAGTGGAAAACAAGTCCATGTGGGTGGCACACCTGGTGCACAGGCTCCAGATGAACAGGCAGACAGGTCTAATGTGTGGACATCCTCATAAACGCACACAGGAACACAATAGGACCCTGTAGTCCATGCACCTCAATCACCCCCACACTGATGCCAAAATGCCTCTTCAGGGTGGAAATATGACTCACTGTGCTATGACCTTTTCATGAGAAAGTGTACACTCACTCACTGTAGTATACAGCTTGGGGAAAGGAAATCTCTTCCCGTCCTCTAACTGAATATTTATAAGTCCTCTAACCTTCTGTTCAATTTGTTTTGTTTTATTTTGTTTTGTTTTGTTTTGTTTAAACAGTCTTAGGTAGCCAAGGCTGGTCTCAAATTCCCAATCCTCCTGCCTCCACCTTCCAAGGGCTGAGATTACAGGTGTGTGCCACCATGCTCAGCTGTGTCTCCTCACCTTCATCTGAGGAGCTCCTTTATCCTTCAACACTCCCCTCATGGATTGCTCCCAGTCTGATGCGGGTACCTGCCCTGGTGCTCTCCTCTGTCTATTCGTACATTAATCAGTTCTATATCACTGTGACAACTGCTTGAGGAGAAAAAAAAAAAAAGGAGGCAAGATTGATCTTGGCTCACAGTTTCAGAGCTACTGTCCATTGTTTCTGGGCCTGTGGTGAGGCTGAGCACCATGGTAGAAGGAGGTGGGACAGTGTTGCATGTGTCGTGGTGACAGGAAGCACTGAAAGAGGAGAAGAAATGTCTGGGGACTAGATACATCCTTGAAATGCATATTCCCAGTGACTGTTTTCTCCAGCCAGACTCCTGCTACCAGTTTTCATCATTTCCTAGGAACACCATAAAAATACAAATTTATCAATAGGTTCCTTGATGAATCGGAAACATTATGATCTAATCAGTTCTCAATGATTGGATCTACCTGCTGGGGACCAAGATCTTGACTTGTGAGCTTTGGGGGATGTGTCATGTCCAGACTGTAAGAGCTCTCTCCCTCACTCCTCTCTGGATGCTGCTACTGCATTCTCTGCTCTCGCTGGATGATAAGCTTCTGCAGTCAGGAACTGTGTCTTATCTACTTTTGTTCCCCAGCTCCCAATACAATACCTGGAACACTGTACGTACTTACTAAGAATGAATAAATGTTATCTACACCTACATATGACATTCCCATCATAACACTCACCCATATCTACACTGGCCGCCTTACCTGCAGCGTCTCTCTTTCCTGATCATCATAAGCATGCTCACACAGAAATGCACCTCACATGCTCATACTCAGATGTAGGCAAACATTCAAACAGGTACACTTGCATATACATAGAGCTTTTTAAAAGTTAAATCAATTCATTTTCATAAATTCATTGACTTTTGAGTCCTACCCATAGACCCTCAGACAAAACCAGATGGATAGTTTTCTGGTTCTCACAACAAATAAGAGAGGAATAACTCATTCTTTCTTCAGAAATTAAGAGTGAAGTCATTAATCTAGACCTTACAGGGAGAGCTGTTAGACAAGAAGCTGGGTGTGGTGGTGCATGCCTTTAATCCCAGCACTCAGGAGGCAGAGGCAGGTGGACCACTATGAGATCAAGGCCAGCCTGATCTACATAGTGAGTTCCAGGGCCACCTGTGGCTATACAGAGACCCTGTCTCAAGAAGACAAAAAAAAAAAAAAAAAAAAAAAAAAGAAAAAAGAAAAAAAAAAGAGTATCCTCATAATTTCATTTCAGACTTTGGTGAGCAGAGTCTCGATATGTAGATATGTCCACATAACCAACCATAATAAAGAAGTTGGCATGAAGATCCACTTACATCCTCCTTTAAGGAAAGCCTTATTGCCCTTAATTAATGGCAAGCTACTAGCACATCAGACAGAGCCTCAGTTGCAGGAAGTCCCTTGCCCACAACCCTACCCTACCACAGGCACCCCTCGCCCACTGATGAAGGAATGTAAATGTCCATTCATTTCATCCCAGTGCAGGACAAAGTTCCCAGTGGCACTAGTTGAGTCTTTAGACCAACACTGAATCTCAACCCCCTTCTCTATGCCTCTATCATGCTTCCTTCCCGTGTACTGTATGTACCATGTACCTTAAAATCACTGACCCCATGGGGCCAGCCACAGGGCTCAGCCTCTGGAGCCACAGCACTTGAGGAAAGACTTCCTTCCAACTGTCTCCTCTACCTCCAATCCCAGCTCAGTCTCAGGAAGCCTCTGCCTAGGACTGGCTGGTCCTTGGTGAGCAGGGCTGCCAATGCACTGATTCATCTCTGACAGCCTTTTCAGAAATTTTGGACTAAGCAGATGCTTATGGTTGTTACAGCTGAGACTGTCTCTCCTCTTGCAGGGAGAGAGAGAGAAGCAAGGAAGGGAAAATAGAAATAGTTGTGCTGGGGGACAGACCAATTTTGACCTTGAGGAGGACAGTTTGTACCCAAGGAGTCAGGTCCACAATGCTGCTGGCCCAGTTACCCTGGACCCCTGATCTCCACTTGCAAGCTGACCACACACTGTCTGGGTATAAGAAACACAACTGGCTCATCAGCTTCAGAGCACACTCCACTCTACAGCCTTCCCTGGACCTGCACAGCCCATAGTCCTTCCATATCAGGGACAGGTAGCCTGACAGGATGCCTGTTGCTACATCAGGACAGTGTCACCTCTTCA